TGAGTTGCCTGACATAAATGAACATTTGCACGATATTCTAATTTTTCGAGTTTCACCTGTAGATCCAAAAACTTATAATTCAGGGACTGCACACAATATCCCCTCCTGAGGCAGGATTCCCCCCAACCCCCAATTCAGACAGTATTCACCTAATCCATCTCAGATGGAGGCAATACAGCTGCAGGGTCAGAGCACCTGTTAGATGGGAAATGCATCCCTGTAGCTGACATAAACTGGACACACTTGACAAAAATCTTCAGCCATAGTTAGTTCCTCTTAATCGCATGGAAATATATCCTAAACCAGAGGTAGACACTCTGACTCCCCCTAAATGCTCTGAACTATAGCAGCCAAAACTATCCAGAGAGCACCATTACCCTGTAATTGGTCCAAATATATATGGTATTTCAACACATATTTTGTGATGTACATTTAATAGATATCTATTAAATAAACTATAAAGTGGGTGTGAGGGGAGAGGAGATTCATGCAGTTAGGTGGGAACCAATGGAAAGTTTTAAAACTAGAACACTAACAAAACAAAAAAAATCGAAGAAGATGTGTGCCCCTCCCTTTCTCTCCAAACAAACCCACTATTTCTCAGAGGAAGCTAAATTACTCAGGATGTATTGAAGAAATGCATTACCTGCACTGATTAGCATCTTTGTAAGAATTGGAGAACCCAATCCTGCTGCCAAGTGAAGGGGTGTATTTCCAGCAGATGTCTGAGCATTCACATCAGCCCCCAGCTTGTAAAACAAAAGATACAGAGTGAATGGGAGATAAAAGCCAACCTTTCCCATCTGTGCAAAAGGATTTTAAATCCCAAGAGTCTACAAGTGTCAAAGTAGATGCAACATATAGGACCTTGAAAACTCATGTCTTGTACATATAAGAAAATTTCTGCTTTCACAGTGTCTACCATAATCTTTCCCAATAGGATTTCAGCTCTCACCACCTCCAGCCAGCATTGATGACAGACAATAATCCAACATAACCAGAGAGTAGCAGACTGGAAAAGGCTGTGCTAATAGTTAACAGCCTGTCTCACAAATGCCAGTTTATTTCCTTTACCTCATTTTAATATCTGCAATACCGAATGAAACCAAAATAATCATTCCTAAAAGCTTAATAAGTATACTTCTTTAATAAATACAAATGGTGCAATCAAATGGAAACCTACTGAAAGGGCAAATAAGTCTAACATGCATAATTAAAACTACATAAATTACAAAATTTTGTTCTACACTTGTTTCCATCCTCAGTAGCTGAGCAATCTTCAGCAAACAGCAAGCCTGTCAAATTGGTAAAACAATCTTAGGTCAGAACTGATTAAAAGCACTGTCTTAGGAATGAGGATGGAGTCAGGGTGGCAAAGTGGAAACACCTTTCTATTAATCCTTCCTGGTATTTTAAAAAAAATATTTATTAGTTATTTTGCTTTATTTCACTGGATCTGAAATATATATAAAAATAAATAGTTTTACACTTTACTGCATAAGAAAATACAATGGGAAGAAGGAAATCTGCAGATTTCAGATAGTTTCATATAGTTAGCTTTTATCCTTTGCTGATGTCAGCTCTACGAGATAGTCTAGATCAAGAAACAGACACCATGTAGGCCTACTACTACTGATATTAGAATTACTATAGTAACAGAATCTTCCAAGACTGAATATGCTTCCCTTCTTCCCACCTTTATCTTCATGTGAATTAGGGGGGCACCTGGTTTCATAAATCTCTATCTTGGTATGGGCTTAAGCCATGTTTATGTGATCTTTGCCTTGGCTGATCCCTCTCTCCATCAAGATCATCCTCTATACTATCTGCAGCTGGCTGTTATTTTATCTACACAGATAAAATATAGTTTTACACTTTACTGCATAAGAAAATACAATGGGAAGAAGAAAAAAACAACAGAAAGTGAACTCTGGTGTGCAGATATTAAACTGTCCAAGTAACAAAAAATCAACTTCAGAAGAGAAATGTTGATGATGTAAGTAATAATCCCAATATTAACAGTTAAAAGAAACTTTTTTTGAATATTTGGCCACTTGTTAGACAAATACAATGTGCTGGAATGGGATATGCAAAGTGAGAGTAGCAGCAAAATTCTCCACCTTCTGCTATGAGGAAATAAAGAGTCCCAGGGCTCTCCAGATACAATAGTTCCTTCCCTTGAGGCAGCTGCACTCAGCACAAAAGGCTGCCAGGAAGAAACCCTTAAAAATGGCAGCATTACTTTAGTTTTAGGACTTTGGTGGGGAACAGATCACATTTTAGTCATATTTATGCAGAAATACTGAAAATTTACAAACTTTTAAGTACTATTTTAAGTTGCCTTGCTTTCCATCCCCTTAAGCTAGTCCATAAATATATCAATCAAGGGATTGCTGTATGCCAATGATGTAGCAAATTTTGTCCTTAACCCTGTTGGCCTTAAAAGAGCTTTGCATTCACTGCTTTCTTAGTGCAAAGGAGAAATTAATAATAAATGTTGCCAAAACCAAGATACCTTCTCTAAACATTCAAACCAATGAATCTGGCAGTTATGCAAACACACCATTGAGTAGGCTAAAACTTTAAACTATTTAGGAATGGCTTTCCAAGCTTCTGAAAGCCAAAATGCTGACCTGATTTTATTATTTATATTGTTATTTTTATCACTATGCCTTTGAATCAGTCTTGACTCCTAGCAACTGCTGGACTAGTCCCTCCAGTTTTTTTGAAAGTGGTTTGCAAATGCCTTCTTCCTAGGGCTGAGAGTGATTGGTCCAAAATCCCAGGTGGGAACTATAGAACTCAGTCTCCCACTTTCAAGCCTAGCACCTTTAAACCTCTACAGGTAGTCCTTGCTTAACAACCCTAACCCAGCAGCACAGCATGAAGCTGCAGCCATCGTAGCCACCACAGCCTAGCAGCACGATGTGAAGGGCCAGGCTGGGGAAGCATGAAGCCTTAGCCGCCCAAGCCCAGCAGCAGGGCGTGAAGCTCGAGCCACCCTAACCCAGCACAGCCCAGCAGCGTGAAGCCCCAGCTGCAGCCATCGTCACTGCCCTGACTTCAAGGCCCCTGCCGCCCTGCACTCCACCTCCCCAGCTGACCTTCACCATCTTCTTGCTCCCTCTGCTGACAAGGTGTGCCCAGCCTGGCCCTTTGCGAGGCAGTTGCTGGCCACACAAGGCCTTCTTCCTCACAAGGAAACTGCCACGCACAATCTCAGGAACAAGGCCTCACAGTGCCAGCAGCTGCCTCATGAAGGGCCAGGCTGAGGACACTTCATCAGCAGTGAGTGCAAAAAGACAGCAAAGGTTAGCTGGGGGCGGCAGAGCCAGCAAAACACAGGGCAACCAAAAGGGCAAAGGTGAGAGGTAGATGGGGGGGGAGTTGAAGCGCCCCTACAGTCGTAAGTGTGGGCAGGCTGCCAAGAGCCTGAATCTTGATTACTTGACTCCAGGGGCACTGCAAGGGCCATAACTTTGGGGACCAGGCGTAATTACCATTTGTTCATTGCCCTGTAACTTTGAACGATTGCTGAACGAATGGTCATTAAGCGAGGACTATCTGTATATCAAACTGGCTATATATCAAAATGCACAGAAATCAGCCTGTTATCCAAGCTTAGCATTTTGCTCTAAGTGCATAGTTTATACCTCCTGCAATTATTTGCAGCTAAAGCCCAAACTGTACAGAGCTCAACTAGGACTTTATAATAACATAATTATAATTATAATTCTAGACAGAGTGCAAACCAAGTATCTAAGAAATATTTTCCAGGCTACCTATGGTGTTCCAAACATGATCCACTGGGAGTATCCTTATGAAAAAAACTTTAGACAAAGAGGGTCAGTTGGAATCTGCTGATCACTCCCAGATGTATTTATAAACTATTTTCTGATTTCAAACCAGCCCCTTATCTATACAGTATCAACTGTCAACCCTTAAATTTAGAAGAGCTCTAACTCCAGCCCATTTTAATGCACTCTCCATAGCAGGTTTGGAGGGGGAATGTAAGAACATTCCCTTTCCATCACAGTGCTGCCTTATGGCATGGATGCCATAGAAAATATGATCTATATTCTTCTTTATTGACAATTCTACAGGGTGGATAGTTAAAGATATAAAGTCCTAGTTGAGCTCTGTACAGTTTGGGCTTTAGCTGCAAATAACTGCAGGAAGTATAAACTATGCACTTTGACCAAAATGCTAAGCTTGGGTAACTCAGGCTGATTTCTGTGCATTTTGATATATAGCCAGTTTGATCCACAGGTAGTCCTCGCTTAATGACCATTCATTCAGCAATTGTTCGAAGTTACAGGGCAATGAACGAATGGTAGTTACACCTGGTCCCCAAAGTTATGGCCTTTGCAGTGCCCCCGTGGTCACATTAGTAATTCCAAACTCATGTTCACTTGATCACCACTCTTTTATCCAAATTTCCAGGGCACTCTGATAGGTTTTATTTATACTACTTACTAGGCAACAAAGATAGCCTTCCCAAAATGTAGCAAAATTCTCCTACATCTTGTGTAAACTCTGCCCATAGATGGATAGTAATAGTTGGTGATGTAGTTTAGGTGCTTACTTGATTATTTCATGGTTCATGACCACTTTAAAGTAATTCATGCATTCATAGCCATTTGAGCTAAAGACTGACAAAGACCACGTCCATAAATTTGCATTCTATTGATTTATTTCAGCTCTTTAACCTGTTAGTTTTATTGCTATTACTTTTTATATACACTATATTATAGTGGGAGCTTATATTATAGTTCCTATATTTTCAATATTAGTATTAAATTTTGACTTACAGATTTTAGTGATAACTTGCATTAGCAAGTTTTATTTTAGCTATTATTCCATAGTTAATAATCTTACAATTAAAATTGTAAGTTATAAGATCTTGTAACTTGTGTTAGCAGGTTTTATTTTTTGCTATTATTCCATAGTTTTTATATATTAACATTTATAGCACATACTTTTTACTGCACTGTATTACAGTGTAGCTTCCATAATGTTAACATTTTAATATAACTGTAATTTTATACCTTGTGTTAATAATTCTAAATTTTACTTATTTTTCCACAGGTAGGCTTCCACAATAACATGTTTGTAATTCGTCACTGAACGTTATCTTATGCTGGTCAATGGCTGAAAAATTATTACTGATATATGCTAGGAAGAAAAATAAACAAAATCTGGAAGTAAAAGAGAGGCATCCCTTGGATACATTTCAAAAAGATTTTAATTTTCATGGCTATATTAACTCCCTAACTTGTGTAGCAGACTTTCCCATTAAAACTGGAAGGAATATAAAGATCAAAATAAGCTTCTGCTCCAGGCTCCTCTCTCCATTGATTGGCTTCATGAGGATAATTTGCCCTGTTAATGATTTCAGAGGTCTCATCACACTTATACTAAGACTCTTCTATTCTCTTCTAAAGGGTAGACTACAAAACATAAAGGTGGAATTGCTTGGAGTTTTAATGGGGAGGTCTGTAACAAAACATGAAGAATTAGGAGAGAAGTAGTCTTATCTATTCTTCCAGGCCATGGAAGAAGACTGGGAAGCAAAAGAAAAATGTTGCATGTTATAACTGGCTACACAAATGGTATCAACAGGCAACCTCCCTAAAGTAAAGATTTCAGGTAAAGACTCGTATACCATTGAAGGAAAGTAAAAATTAAATAGGTCTATTACATTTCTGTAATAGCTCCTTTTATTTCTATGATTCTATAAAATGCTGCAACTGCACAAGGAAAACACTACTGGGAAGTTTTGCATACTTTTTGGAAACTCTGCAGCTAGGGCTGCAGCAGTGCAGTTATGTCTTTACTTGATAATTATACTTTTGAGCAAGAACTGTGGGAGGGATTCCATTTATGTGTAGCCTTTTTAATGCTAAATAAAATTAAATTTTCACCATATTTCAGTCTCACAAAAATTTTATGTCTCAATCCTGTGCATAAAATTACTTTGGAAGAACTTCCAAGAGGCAGTTTGTTTCCATTACTCAATTTTTTTCCAATAAAATTGTAATGTGAAATGTAAGTGAAGTTCAATTTGACTATAAATTATATATAAAAGTGCCTGCATTAACTTTTGTTGAAATTCACAATTCTCTATTAACTGTGACAGGTTTAATATAAATTATTTTAGGGGTGTTACTTAGCTTGTAATCCTAAGACCTCTTTTCTAGAAGTGGGCTTTACTTCTGTGTAAAATAACAAAATCACGTCCAAATTGTCTTTGAAAATATAAGCTGTCTTGCAGTGGGACTGCAAGACCCTGAATTCTTTCAACACTGACTAACCCCATCCCCCTACTGAACCCATTTCTATAACTTTCAAAAACCTTACATTTCAAGTCACTTTTTGACATGTCAAGTGTGCCTATGGACCCAAAAAGCGTGATGACCTTTACTTTAGATATTGGCTAGTTCTTGGCCTTCTTCTAAATTTCTTTTTCTCAGCCTCATGACTACTGTAATATTTCTCTTTCCACTTTCTTTTTTATCCTAAATATTGGACCATTCTCTCAAATTTGTATTGTCTCTCTCTTGGGAAGTTATGAGTTTAGGCTTGTATTCCCCCTTGTTGGCTTGTGTTATTCTTTCCATAAAAACTGAGATGGCATCACTGCTCCAGTCATGCTCTTTCTGACCCACAAGCTCTGAGGAAGCACTGTGTGGAGGCTGAACTTGGCAGACAGAACTATGCCCAAGATACGCTTGTGAACTATGTCTAAACCTTATCAATCATAGGGCATTCGCCCTGCAAATCGTAAATCACTGTCATCAATGTGTAGTGGGACATTGAGAAGGAAGGCCAGCCCAAAAGACTTTATCTAAGACTCTGGAAAGCTGCTGGTCAGAAGATAATACTTGGCCAAGTTGAACAAGCTCTCTTAAATTGATATAAAGAACTTAATATATATGTTCAACAAGATCAAGTTCCTTTATCTGTACAATACGGGGACTAAACTCACATACAATCCTTTATTTATTTCCTTCTTCTCAAGACTAAACCGTAAATGTTCAAGAGGGAACATAAAGAGTCAAGAAACCCTGTGTAAACCGTTAGTGCATTCTCTCCTTTCCCAGGATTACAAAATAGCAACTATGATCTCTACCTTGTTCCTGGGTGAAGGATCACTTGTTTATAGTGATCTTCCAGTACAGGTTGTCCTCACTTAACGACCATTTGTTTAACGACAGTTTGAAGTTATGACAGCCTCAGAAAAAGTGCTTTACTACCTGTACTCACACTTATGACCATTGCAGTCAAATCACGCCCGCAGCCACATGATCACGATTCGCTACCTTTTTTACAACGGTCCTAAAGTGAATCACTGTGGTCATTAAGTGAATCATGGTCATTAAGCAAATCACATGGTTAAGCGAATTCCAGCAAAAAAGTCCACTGGGGAAGCTGGATTCACTCAATGACCATGTGATTCACTTAACAACCACAGTGATTCGCTTTACAACCATAGTGATTTATGACCAGATTGGGTCTGGTCATGTGGCAATTTGCTTAACAACCACCCCACTTAATGATGAATTTTCCAATCCCTATTGTGGTCGTTAAGTGAGGACTACCTGTACTATAACAGAACAGTTATCTATTGCAGAATAAAATGCTCTCACGCCCCATCAATAGCCTCACCCCCACTCACCTTCTTCATCAAACATATAGCCATGTTAATGTTATCCATTTCAACAGCTAGATGTAAAGGTGTCCGTCCACTCTGCCGTTCTGCTGCATTCACATTCGCTCCTTTCTCAACCAGCAACTCAAGACAGGCTGGTTTTGTGCACTTCACAGCAAGATGCACAGGGAAAAGGCCTGAAGCAACAGTAGTAATTGTAATTGTACAATGAGACTACAGCTCTTGCAGCAGGACTGGGAGGCTCATCCTACAACCCCAAACCAGGGCTGAAGCACCAATTATAATAGAGGATTGAATAATATTCTCACCTCCTCCTCCTCCTCCTTTCTGCCTCTCACAGCCACCTCTCCTTCAACACCTAATTTGATTCCAATGGCCGTGTGACAAGAGACCCAGGTTTCTTACAATTCCCATATTACTCACCAAAATAGTTAGGTATCTCAAGAAGAGAGTGAGTCTGGGAACCCAAGTGGCAGAGGAGAGTCTTCAACATCTCTTCGTCATCCAAATGCACAGCCAAATGCACAACTGAGTTGCCATAGCGATCCAGCAAAGTTGGGTCTGCTCCAGCCTGAAGTAAGAAACCAGCCACCCTGGGCTGATGAGTGATCACAGCCAGGTGTAATGGTGTCTAAGAAAAGAGAGGACAGGATTAAGTTCCATCAAAAGAACAGAGCAGAATTCTACTTATATTTGCTCAACTACAAAATGTACGCACAACCCAGGAATCAAATTACACAGAGAGCTGTACTTATGTTCAAGTGAATGCCAGTACATCTTCCTATCAGATCTACTCCAGAATCCATGCTATGTACACACACCCCTCTCTCACTACTGTGAGGGAGTAAAGTTGGGGTTGGTGTCTGTGCTTGGGAAAAGTAGCTGCAGCCAGGCAGAAATGCTTCTCACCCCATTTCCCTAACTCAAACATTACTGACAAGCATCCAAGCCAGTGTTCCAGCTGCCTGTGATAATTGAGCCACACGCTGGCATTTTCAAGGACGTGCCAACATCCAGGAGCAGCCTGACCCCAAACCCAGGCTCTTAGCTTAGAAAAGCAAATGCCAAGACAGAGTGGAGTGAGTATGTAGGAGAAAAGGAGACAAGAAAATAGCAAGCATGCGAAGAAGTGGGAGGCGATGTCTGGAGACTGACAGTTATTACATCCAGATAAGAGGACTATCAGTCAACTACCAGGACGAATATGGAAAGCATATCCTGGTTGGTTTCCTGCCTAGAGAGCTCAGCCAGAGTGCTCAAAAGCAACACTGCTTAAGAGTAGAGCTTGGACTGGAGCTGGACAGCAACTAGACAAGGAACAACCACACTGAGGCAGCACCTCATCCCAACTAGTGCAAGAGCTTTTGGAAAAAGGCAAAGGTTGTATGCTACTTTATAGACTTCGAGACTCTTGTTTGAACTGAGTATTAAAAACTGAGTATGAAG